AATTGTTAATTGTATTTGTTTTGTTTTGTTTTACAGGAAATATGAGCGGTTGGTCAACACTCTGTTAGATTGTGTTAACCAGAGAAACCTGTAAGTACCCACGAGCTGGAGACTGTAATATTACGTTATATGTTTTTAAGTTTAGTCGACTTGTATTCTGCATTGTTTTTATGTTTTACTTTAACCAATTAGCACCTTTTTTGCACTATTTAAAACCTTCATAAGTTAAGTGCATGTCAGGTATTGATGTCTGATTTATCTCTATCTCAGAATTTTAGAAAAAAGCCCACTATGAATGTTCATGCAATGTGCGAAAATGCAATGCTTACACTACTTTTATAGCAAAATGTTGTTTTTATATCTACCACAAGATGGCGGTGTTGTCACAGATTTATAAAGGAACACTCAATGCACCATAACCATTGCAGTGTGTTGGTTATATTGCCAGGACTTACCTTAGACGGGTGTCAGGGAGCTTTCTAGTGTCATAGTGCTTAAAGTGTTCTTTTATTAACACAGAATTTGGTGGATGGGGAAATCGAAAACTGTACACTTGTTCTCCCATCCCATTCTGCAGGATGTTCGAATATGTGGGTCTCTAGGAACTTGTAAACAAGGGGTGGGGAAATTCTCAATACTTTATTAACTTATCAGTAGTTGGAAAAATTGCCTTTACTATAATACAGTATATTTGCTAGCATTAAACTGTATAAAACTTGGGTTCAAATATTTTGTAACACAAAAACTGATGCTGTAAGCTCCCTGCCCAGTAGTTGTATAATGCAAACTGTGATAAGTGTTACGTTTTTGTAATTTAGCATTTGGTTAAGTTTAAATCTCCTGTTTGAGCATTTGTGACTCCCATATTTCTGATCTCTATTGTCCCGATTTCAGTCCTTGGAAGTTTGAACACATAGGCATTGGGTTCCTTACATTGCTGCTGAGAGAAGATCATGTACTTCCTGTGCGCGCCATCAGATACTTGGTGCAGTGTCTCAATCATGATGCCCTCATTGTGCGCAAGGTACAGTCTACTCTGTGTTTAAATATACATATTTCATAGGAACCACAAAGTCTTAAATGCATTCATTGGAATTATAATTTACATACATTTTTATTTTTTATTTTTCAAGTCCAAGAGAAGATAGGAAAAGTAATAGTCATGGGAAGTCGAGCCCATGACCGTGAACTACCCTGATCTAGGCAGTGATAACTGTTTGTGCATTTTAAAGGATTTGGCGCTTAGTTTATTTAATGATAATAGTTTTTATTTATGAGCAGTTGTTTATTAAAGCGAAAATTGGCAGAAATTGCAAGTGAATTTCAAATTTGACGACAAAATAGCTCAATCTGGGGAAGAAAACCCAAGTCAGCTGTGCTATCAGTTTAGATGTTCTGGTCTAAACTTTGTAATTCACTTTGAATTCCTGACAAGTGTCCCTTTAGTGACTATCCATGTAGGTATATATGTATGTATGCTCGTATTCGTACTCTGCCTGTTATTTCATCGTGTAGGTCAGTTCTAGAATCCTGTACTGGTGACATCATTACCCTAACTTGCTACACTAACCATTAGCCCTTACACTACTTTAACACTGATCATATGTCCACATAGTGTCATAAGGGTCACATTTGAAATCCTGTTCATGATGCTAAGCAAGGGCTTCTGGGTAGAAAAAAAAATGACATGTCAGGTTATATACTAAAGTGAGTTTAAACTTTAAGACCACTGTAGCAGAGCTGAAAGAAGCAGACTTGGAGAATGTTTCCACTTTGAATTCTCGTTTTGGTTCATAATCTTAATGGCAGGGCCCTCTTTACTTTTTGTATTGGTATGTTTATATTCGACTGTCATTTACCCCAATTGTCCTACAATGCTGAATATGCTGGCACTTTATAAATAATAATAATGGAGTATGTGCAGAATAACTATAAATGGCCTATGTTTAAGCAAATCAAAGCACAACATATTTAAAGATGTATGTCTGTGTTGAAATTTCCTCCCATGTGTTTTTTGTTTTTTTTAATATGAATATTTTATTGGCAAAAGCCACCTGCTTCATTAATTTATTTTGTACATTTTACTTAATTATGTTAATTTTTGTTTTGTAGATGGCAATCTCCACCGTTGCTGGAATTCTAAAGCAATTGAAGAGACCACATGAGAAGAAAACAATTTGTCCGTACACAATCAGTGAGTATAATTCACATTTAATTCTATACAAAAAAATACAGAAATGAGGAGGAGGTATCCCTAAAAAAACGGGAATAAATCCCCTCAAAACTAGTCCCCCCTCTGGAGCAATATAAATGTTTGCCCACTACCGTGTATTAGACAAAGTGAAAAAAATAACATTTTTTTTATTGAAAAAAATCATCAAAAATCCCATATATAAAATCTATAATACACCAAACTGCTTAGGACTAGAGATGAAGGAATACAGAAAGCAATCCAGCATGCACATGTACAGATTGTACACCTCGATACTTTATAGCTAAAGTTTCCAATAAAAAAAAGTAGCAAGATAGCTACTTAGAAATACAACAAAATAGCAATAGTATCTAAAGGATTAGCATATTATAGTACAGTAGAGGCAGGCTGAAGATAAATTCTAGTACCTTCAAATCAGTCTAAATATAGATAAATAACTCTTCACTATTTAATGTATATATACAAAAATTGGCTCTAAAGTCCTGATGGTTTACTACAAATTTCAACTAGTATATCTTGGCCATGTTGGCTCTATATATATCTCTGCAGAGTTAGTAAATCGACAGGACAGGAAGAGGTAAGCAAAATAGATGAAAAATAAAGTGAGGAGGCAGTAAAAAGGGTTCATAAATAAGTAACCCTAACTACAATCAAAGCAGTATGTGGAGTGTGAAGAAAATCGCAATCATCCTCCATTCATCCCCTCCCCTTTATACACTGATATTGGCACCAGAAAACCCGCCCGCGGTATATGGGCTGGGTTTCTGTTTCATCACGCCAAACGGATTTGCCGGTGGGAGGTCCCACACTCGTGTGTAATCAGGGCCATTACGCATGCGTCAAACGTCGGCATTCAGCCGAAGAACGCACATGCGCATAGTCCGTACCGGCACGTCCGGAGTCCCCAGTGCTGGCAACAAGAACGCGCATGTGTCCAATAAAGTCTGTTGCGCATGCACCAAAGTTGGCATTCCGCCAAAGGACGCGCATGCGTATAGTTGGAATTCTCGCGCAGCGTCATTCAATACATCAAACTAAGCTGCCTTCCATCCCATTTAAAGTCATACACTCCCTAAGGTTAAATATGAGACAACACATATTTAAAGAATAAGTAATGTAATACTATATGTGATGCTCCTATAATAATACTCAGAAAAATAGGGAGTAAAACAAGGAAGGATAGGGACTAACAATATGGAGGGAACAGAAAAGAGATAAATCAAGAATAGTAGCAATTGTACAAGTAAAAATAGAAAAAAGGCAGGTCAAATTGGATTATAGAGTATCTATGAAAGTAACTTAATATCAAAGAGTCAAAAGAAGTAAACCCAAAAGGTACCAAAGAGTGTTTCTGGTCAAAAACATATTCGTGGACATTAGAAAATATATCCAATAATAGACAAAATTGACTGATAATAATAAAACCGTTTTATATAAGTCAAAAATTCACTTAAATTGGGAGGTATAGTCCGAACATAATCCGTGTGTGTATATGCCTCAAATATATATGTATTTAACGCAGATGAATGGAGCAAAAGAAAACCACTCATTCAAACCCAGAGGTTGTAATGTCTTGTCTAAAGATCCATCTAGACTCTCTCTGTCTTAGTAGCCGATCATAATTTCCACGCCTCGGATGTCTCTTAACCCATTCAAGACCACAAAATTTCAAATTACTGGAATCACCCTGGTGGTATTCTTTAAGGTGTCTTGAAATGGGTGTTTCAAGGCGGTTTCTAGGGGACCTTACATGCTCCATAATCCTTTCCTTAAAGGCTCTAAAAGTCTTCCCTACATACTTTTGTCCATAAGAACAGGACAATAGATAAACCAAACCCTTTGTATTGCAATTAAAGAAGTTTTTGATTTTAATAGAGACTTGGCCAGTGCTGTCATTCACTATTTTAGATTCTTTAAAGATATACTTGCAAGCTACGCATCTACCACAGCCCTAAGAACCACATGGAGGATTGCCCAACCATGTGTCTCTTGGCTGTGGTTTAATAGATAGATGACTTGGTACTAATAGGTCGCGAATATTGCGACCTCTTCTAGCCGTGATATTAATACATGGGCCTAAAATTTCCTTCAGATGCGTATCGTTCAAAAGAATCGGCCAAAATCTATTAAGACACTTTCTTACTTCAGACCATCCTGTATCGTATGTGGCAATCATCCGAATATCGCCCGTATTTTTAGAGGTCTTTTTCGCAGGGTGGTCACAAAGGAGTTATTTTCTATTAGTTTCAAGGGCTCTCTTATAGGCTTTCTTAAGGCAACGGTTTGGGTAGCCTTTCTCCTTAAAATAAGAACGAAGTTGATTTGCCTTTATTTTAAAATCGGCCTCATCGCTACAATTTCTCTAGAGGCGAAGATATTGACCAACCGGGATCCCCGCCTTAAGGGGCCTTGGATGATAACTTCTCCAATGGAGCAAGGAATTTGTAGCAGTCGGTTTTCTGTATAGAGTGGAGTAAAATATCCCATCCTCATTGATGGAAATCGTGATGTCTAAAAAATGTATTGAACGTCCTCCAAATTCAGATGTGAATCTGAGTTTCTCGGTATTCTGATTAAGACATTCCACTAGATCTGTAAATTCCTGTGGGGACCCTTGCCATATCAATAAAATATCATCGATATAGCGTCCCCACCATAAAATCTTAGGGAGGTAGTCCTTCAAAGTCTCTGAGGAGAAGATGTCTTTTTCCCACCACCCCAGGTGGAGGTTTGCATACGAGGGGGCACAAGCCGTCCCCATCGTAGTACCCCTCACCTGGTGATAGAACTTAGTGTTAAACAGAAAATGGTTATGTGACAGGATAAATTCTAAAAGGCGTACCACAAAGTCTGCATGAAAGTCGTCCCTGCATGTCCTTTTGTTTAGGAAGAATCTTACATGTTCTAAACCTCTATCGTGAGGGATAGATGAATAGAGTGATTCAACATCAAAACTACAAAGATTTGCACTCGGAGATAGTTTAAGATTAGAAAGTAGATTCAAAGCTTGCTTAGTATCTCTTGTATATGATGGCAAAGTCTCCACCAAGGGTCTCAAGATTTTATCAACGTACAGGCTGCATGCGCGTTCTTGTTGCCAGCACTGGGGACTCCGGACGTGCCGGTATGGACTGTGCGCATGTGCGTTCTTCGGCTGAATGCCGACGTTTGACGCATGCGTAATGGCCCTGATTACACACGAGTGTGGGACCTCCCACCAGCAAATCCGTTTGGCGTAATGAAACAGAAACCCAGCCCATTTACCGCAGGCGGGTTTTCTGGCGCCAATATCAGTGTATATAGGTGAGGGGATGAATGGAGGATGTATGCACACTATTATGCCCTTGAGAAAGGCGGACATTATCGCCGAAACGCGAGGGGCTTTTGGGGGTGTGGGCGATTTTCTTCACACTCCACATACTGCTTTGATTGTAGTTAGGGTTACTTATTTATGAACCCTTTTTACTGCCTCCTCACTTTATTTTTCATCTATTTTGCTTACCTTTTCCTGTCCTGTCGATTTACTAACTCTGCAGAGATATATATAGAGCCAACATGGCCAAGATATACTAGTTGAAATTTGTAGTAAACCATCAGGACTTTAGAGCCAATTTTTGTATATATACATTAAATAGTGAAGTTATTTATCTATATATATATAGACTGATTTGAAGTTACTAGAATTTATCTTTAGCCTGCCTCTACTGTTCTATAACGTGCTAATCCTTTAGATACTATTGCTATTTTGTTGTATTTCTAAGTAGCTATCTTGCTACTTTTTTTTTTATTGGAAACTTTAGCTATAAAGTATCGAGGTGTACAATCTGTACATGTGCATGCTGGATTGCTTTCTGCATTCCTTCATCTCTAGTCCTTAGCAGTTTGGTGTATTGTAGATTTTATATATGGGATTTTTGATGATTTTTTCAATAAATTTTTTTTATTTTTTTCACTTTGTCTAATACACGGTAGTGGGCAAACATATTTATATTGCTCCAGAGGGGGGACTAGTTTTGAGGGGATTTGTT